GTTTTCACATTGAAATGTTGATGTCTCTTCAGGGAGATGTGTGGGATGGTTTCAAGATGAATGTGGAGAGTACTGGGATGCTCTGGGTGGGTCTCCTCGACTACTATGCACGAGTTTTTGACTTCGATGAACATGTCATCACCATTCGACAGAAGAAACCTCTTACCCGATTTGAAAAGCTTTGGACAGGAAGTGCTATTGCCATTGAAGGTAAGACATTCTCAAAAAAATTGATCAGTGAAAGTGTAAAGTTTTATTCAGTGACTTTTTCCTGCATGGGTTATGTAGATCCCTTTGACTTGAGCCATAACCTTGGGAATGGAGTCTCCTTCAAGAGTAAGTAGTTATCTGAATGTTTGAACTCATCACATTTATTGAGATTTCAAAATAATGTGGGTGTCGTGTCACTTGCACAGTGGCTCTGTACATCCGCAAGGCATTCATCCGAGCAAGGGAAGTCTTTGGGACACCTCAAGACAAGTTACCAGATTCAGTGAAATATCCTGAAGTAAGCCAACATCCTTCCAAGTTTCTTCCTCTCTTTCTTGCAGCATTTATTAAGCTGATTCTTTTCCTGTAAGGCTGGAAATTGAGAGAAAAAAAAGTTGTATTGTCTTTTACAGCTGTTTGATTGGTAACTTATTCCCTTTCCAATTCTGGCAAGGGAAGCATTAAATTCTTAATGGAATGACACCATGGACCGTAGTGGTGACATGGTGTCATCCAAACCAATCCAGTGAATCTGAAATATTAAAGTTATTTTTGATACCTCAAGGAGACTGGCATTGAAAGAAAAATTCATCTCCCTTTCTGCATGAGATTCATAAAGGGAGATTTTACTAATTGCAATTGATTTTTATTTGCCATTAAAACTTCACTGGATCAATAACTTGATGGAGTTAGGTTTGCTTATCTTAATTTTAGGCTACTTAAATACTGACTCATCCAGTTATGCATTGTTTGCAGGACTACTTCTTCATGAGGGGGTCACTGACAGATGAGCAGCCACCAAATGACCGGGGCTGTCGGTACTGTGGCTGCATAGGACATGTGATCAGGGACTGCCCTC